CACGCATGCGCACTCCCACACACCCGATATGTGTGTTGTGGTATGCATAAAAACAGCAAACAAAGAGTGAAATGAATTTGTTTCCATCCATTTAGATATACATTTATGAAAAAAGTCAACAATGAACCAAAAATGATCGAAGAATTAAAAGAATTAAAAGAAATTTAAAAAAAAAGAAAACAACAAACAAACAAACAAAAAAAACACAAAAAAAAACATTTTTTTATCAGATTCATGTCAAGAAATCTTGAGATCACGGAGTACACATTTCTTTTGAGTTTTTTTTATCTCTTTGTCTATATAGGGAAAAAATATGGCATAATATCTAGAGTCTGGCACAAGGTCACAAAAATGGGTCATTCCAGTGAAAACGAGAAAACACGACATTTTTCTGAATTTTCTTCTTCGAGCATGGCTCTCCATAACATCCTATTCTTTGTAATTCTTAGTAAGATTTGTTTCCCCCCCCCAACCCACACCCTATTATATAATCTTTTTCAAAAAAGCTTCTTAGGCAGGTTATTCGCTGCTTTCCTTTGTCCATCTTGCCCTTCAACATGCCCTGTAAAATATCAAATTCTCAAAGCTCTCTCTCCTCATTATATGCCATAGAAATTTAAACTGCTTCTTTCTGGTTCTAACTAGAAGCATCTTTTTTGTTTCCATTTTCCCTAAAACTTCCTCGATACTCACATGTTCAGTTCATGGTAGTCTCAGTATCCTTCTGTAGAACCACGTTTCTTTTGCCTCAAGTCTCTTCTTCATCTGTGAGTAGGTTATCCAGCATTTACTGCCATATACGAAGACTGACATTCCATGACAGTTCAGTACTGTTTTCCTTGTTTCTAATGAAATCTTCCTGTTTCTTAATACTTTGCTTAGCTTTTGGAAGGCATCTTTCGCTATTGTAGTGTAGTATTCATGGCTATATAGGAGTATTTTATAAAGCAGTTTTGGATGAACTGAGGAACATGCAACAACGTCTTTGAAAACAAAATTTTACGGTCAAAGAATGCCGTATGTTTATTCCTAAAGAAATGGTAATTTTACCATTAACATTACAGAAGAGGAGAACAGATATTACACTTTGATTTTTCCTACTTCTTAGTACATTGCTTAGCTTTTGGAAGGCACCTTTTGCTACTGTAGTGCATCCAGAGTTCATGGCCTTATGAGAGTATTTTATAAAGCAGATTTTGAACGAACTGAAAACACCATGCCACGTCTCCAAAAACAAATCTGCCGGTCAATGAATGCCGAATGTTTCCTCATAAAGAAGTGGCAAATTTTATCATTAACATTAGAGATGAGTAGAACTGATACTACACTTTGATCCTAGTCCAATGGTCAGAGAATGAAGAAAAGTATAACTCGAGTAGGACTGGCTGTTTGGGCAAAGAATGCTAAATGTTTTCCCTGCAAAAGAGATAAATCCTACCTGGATTCATTATTAGCAGCTACAATCTTGACAACATATGATACGCAGATGACATAGTGCTGATAGCAGATACGAGAGGAAATAACAAAACCTCCTACAGAAAGTAGTGAGAAGAAGGGACTAAGCATAAACTACAAGAAGACAGAATGCAGGGTCATCAGAAAAGAATGAGCCCGAAATGCGATTTACAGGTCACGAGACACTAAAATCAAGCAAGTACAGCATTTTAAATATCTGGTAAAAGTTCTAACAGAAGACAGTAAAATGTGACGCTAAGATCCGAAGACATATTGGGGTGGCCAAAGACACATTCCAAAAGTTAAGCAGTGTATTACGAGACTGGAGGGTTTCCTTTTGTAACAAATAAAAGAGTACTGAACTGCTACATGATATCTTTCCTCCTTGGACGGTCTCCTCAAAGATGAAGAAGAGACTCGAGGCAATGGAGATATGGTTCTACAGAAGGATGCTAAGGATATCATGGACTGAACATGGAAGAAGTGATGAGGTTTTGAAGAAAAAAAGTTATCGAGGAGGAAACTTATATTTAACACCAGGGAGAAGCAGCTGAAATTTCTGGGACCTATAATGAAAAAAGAGGGCTTGGAAAATCTGATACTCGCAGTACAGGTAGAAGGGAAGAAAGACAAGGCAAAGCAATGTGTGACATACCTAGCGGCCTTAAGCAACTGAATGACAGAAGAGAGTTTGGAAGAACTAGCAAAAGAACAAAACATATTAAGAACTACAAGGGATAAGGAGAAGTGGAGAGGATACAGGACATAAAAGAAAAAGATACTAATGTTTGGCCCCTTGTTGATGCAAAAAACAACATTTTTAAACAAAATTTCAAACATTCTAAAGAGAATGAAAAATTATAATTTGAAAATCCTTTGGCCTTTTCTCTTAATAATAACATAAAGATTTTGACGATAAAACTTTGTTTTTGTTAAATTTGGAGAATTTTTTCATCATGTATGCTAATTTTTTTAGCGAAATCTAAGGAGGTACCTACTTATAAGAAAAACCTCATAGAATCACTGAGATTACGAAACAGATACTACACTTTGATTTCAGCCTGTTGGCTAGGAAATGAAGAAATGTGCAACTTGATTAGCATTGGCCGCTCGGTCAAAAAATGTCGAACGTATTGTAGAATTATATTTCTCCATTCTCTGTTTAAAACCTGTTAAAAGAAGATCACAGCTAAGTATTCTCAGTTTGTGCTGAACCCATTAAAATCGGCTCTAGGGTTCAGTACGAAACAATGCTTTCTGATTGGTCCATAAATAATAATGTCTTGTTTCTGCCTACGTCCACACGGTTGACTTCGAGTTGACCTGTTCATAGTACAATACGCAAAAAAAAAAAAAAAATGTATACATGTTCTCGAGCCTCCCACGTAATCAAGAAAACTCATAAATATGAAATTTCGATGCGACTTAGTGAGTCCTTAAAATAATCAACTCGTCACACGAATCCATGAAACCCAACTTCCTCGTTAAAAGTTAATTTTTATTAACATTAACCCGGCTTGTGGAATTCAATTTCTTTTCAACATCATTTCATCTAGTGACGAATTCAACTAAGACGAGACTCATAAACCAACTCACTGAATATCTTAACAACATAAAGGAAATCGTGACTATATCAGTCGAAGGGAGACAACTCTACAGTAAGTCAAGCAATCTATTTCATTCAATTTCACCATAAACTGTTTAATTCCTTACTAGATCTATAGCATAACACCTTTTATATTACCCTTGATCACATAACCAAGAACTCTAAAGCGTTTTAAACAGCTTTATCATATTGTGTGTACTTGTTGTTATATAAAAAAATATTTTCTGTTAAAACAAATATCTGCCTATTTCATTATTTCTCTTGCTGTCGTTGTCTTCGTTCTATTTAGTTTAATAAAAATAGTGGAGGGTCAGATTTGTATTTTGTCACCGATACAGATTGGCTAACCCACTACAAATGTGTCCTTTTAAGGAAACAGCTAATAGTAGCATTAGCGATTAGGAGAACAGATACTACACTGATATCAGTCCGATAGAAGGAAGAAAAGCATCACTCGAGTAGGACTAGCTGTTCGGTCAGCGAAACTGATTATTACCTTATAATGAAATGGCTAATATTACCATCATCAATTAGAAGAACAGATATTACACTTTGATCACGCACAGACTGGTAGCCATGGGCAATGAATGCTTTTCTTATAAGAAAACTGCTAATATTATCATATATTTTGGACACACATACATATCATGCACACCTCCCTTCACTGAAGTGAAATCTACGTACATTTTTTTTCTTTTTGGTGAATGTTAAGCTTTATAAACAAGAATATGTCATAATTTTAATTCTAACATATCCTCATAATATATAATAATATAATTGATGTAATGTAATAACCTGTCACCACCATGAGTGACTACACTATAGATAGTAACTACCTATAAGTATCTGTAAGTCAACAAACTACAGAGTCTAGCTGCGACCTGTTCCAGCGGGTTCAAAAAGGAATATTTTTGGCCGAGCCTACGGGCTCGGAGAACCCACGTTAAACCGGCTTCGTGCCACATGCAACCCTCGTAGGGGGGTAGCTAAATATACTAGCTGCGACCTATTCCAGCTAAACAGTTGAACTCTCTGATTTCGGGCAGAGAGGTCCCCGGACGAGGCTCCACCGGAAGGCAGAGTCTCGTTCGGAGAGGTAGACTGCCCCTGAACCCGTTTATGCGCCGTTCGAAAGGGAATATTTTTTGCCGTATCTACGGGCTCGGAGAACCCACGTTAAATCGGCCTTGTGCCACATGCAACCCTCGTGGGGCGGTAGCTAAATATACTAGCTGGGATCTGTTATTCAGATCTTGGCTGCTATCGAACTCTCTGCTTTCGGGCAGAGAGGAACCCGTCCGAGGCTCTGCCGAAGGGCAGAGTCTCCTCGGGTGAGATAGATAGACCCGACCCGTTTATGCGGGGTTTACTGGGAATTTTTGGCCGTGCCTACGGGTTTGGATTGCCCCACATCAAATTCTGTCTTGTGGCGCAACCTACTCCATGGGAAGGTTGGTAAATATTACTAGCTGGGATCTGTTGAGTACGACTCAGACTTACGCAAGAACTACCGACCTTCAAATAGTAACACTCACTACTGGATTGACTTGCAACAACCTTATGCATAACTGTTACTTTTATTTTTATTGTACTGGGTTTTTACAATAAACCTTTACTTATTTGATCCTCTGCGTTTGTCAAGCATATATTCCTATTAACATGTAATATAACAATAGTAATATCGTTAGAGATATTAAATCAATACTGTTAGCGGCAAATATGGTGGCATTATCTCTTTAAAAAAGCCCGTATTTTAATTCATATCTTCTACTGACTCACTCCCTGACTGTGTTAAGTATTTGAACCCTGTGAATTATTCCGATACATGAACTCACCAATACAACAAAGAGAAGATGGAGGGGAGGAAGCAAAGGGAAAGATAGAGAATGATAAGTAGAGCAAAAGAGAGGTAAGCACAGAGAGAGAGAGAAAGACGTACGCAGTGAGTGAGAGAGAGAAAGGTAAGCAAAGTGAGAGAGGCAAGCAGAGAGAGAGGTTAAGCAAAGAGAAAGAGAGAAGAGATAGAGATAAGCAGAGAGAGATAGAGAGGGGTAAATAGAGCAAAGGAGAGGTAAGCAGAGAGAGAAAGAAAGGTAAGCAGAGAGAGAGAGAGAGAAAGGTAAGCAGAGAGAAAGAAAGGTAAGCAAAGAGAGAGAGGTAAGCAGAGAGAGAAAAGTTAAACATAGAGGGGGTAAGTAGAGAGAAAGAGAGCAGTAAGAAGAGAGAGAGAGAGGTAAGCAGAGATAAAGATAGAGAGGGATAAGTAGAGCAAGAGAGAGGTAAGCAGAGAGAGAAAGGTGTGCAAAGAGAGAGAAGTAAGCAGATAGAGAGAGAGTAGTTAAACAGAGAGATATAAGTAAACAGAGAGAGATAGAAGTAAGCAGTGAAAGAGAGAAAGGTAAGCAAAGAGAGAGAGGTTAAACAGAGAGAGAGAGAGAAAAGTAAGAAGAGAGAGATAGAGGTAAGCAGAGAGAGAGAGAGATAGGATAAACAGTAAGAGAGAGAGTGTAAACAGAGAGAGAGTGTGGGGGGTAAGCAGAGAGCTAAAAGACTTTGTTGACAAAAAGTCCTTGTTAAAAGGATTAACAGTGAGGTCTATAAAATGGCTGCTCTTCCTGTTGCAATTTGATTGGTCAAATAGTACAAATGTCAGAGAATTATTGAATGAGAAAAGCAGCCAGTCAGGAGAGATCTCAAGCAAAAGAAGACATTTTTTTTTAAGCACAGGAGAGGAAAAGGGAGGACAAAAAGTAAGTTTAGTGAAATGAAAGCCTCAGATATTAGATGGTTCTAATAAAAGAAAGTCAAATGAGAAAAAAAGAGATGATGTTGGGATAATCAGGGAAAAGCGAAGAAAAAGAAAAGGTTGAAATAATCAAAGAAAAGGAGATAATTAATTAACAAAAGAAAAAAAAAAAAAGGAAAAAAGAAAAAATGTATGGATAAATAATAGAGGAGTTTTAAAACATGATGGATGAAAAAGGAAGAAAAAGAAAAAAGAAAGAAAGAAAGAAAGAAAGAAAAACATGTATGGATAACATAATAGAGGAGAAGGAAAGCATGATGGATGAAAGAAGGAAGAAAGAAAGAAAGAAAGAAAGAAAGAAAGAAAGAAAGAAAGAAAGATGGTGAACATTGAACATGTAGGAATTTTCAAGTGTTACAGGGAAAAAAAGAGATAGTAAGAAAAAAAAACATTGCTAAGATCTGCAACTATGGGAAGTTGGTGAGAGCCATGATCGTCCATATTTTGAAAAAAACATGGCAGATAAAAAAAAATAGAATAAAATAAACATAATATTTCCCTATTTTAAAAATATTGACTGAAGTCTTTTTTTTCAATTATTTTTCTCTTTTTTCTTTAATTGAAATTTTTTCCTCCTCCTTCATTTCATTTCTTCATTTTTTTTTGTTCTTCATTTCATTTTTTATTGTTTGTATTTCTTTCTTATTTTTCATTTTTTTCATTTTTATTTCTTTCTTGTTTTTCATTTCGTTCTTTGTTCTTCAGTTCGTTTCATTTTAATTTTTCCTTTAAACTTTTCTTTTTTCTTTTTTTCTTTTTTCTTTTTTCTTCTCTCTCTTCTCTTTCATCATACTGTCTCCCTCCTTTTTCATTCAACCGACATTTTACACAATTTCTTCCCTCTTTCTTTTTCTCCTATTTCTGATACTTCTTTTTTGTCTCCTTCGGCCTTCCATATTTTTTTTTTTTAAATTACATATATTTTTATTCTCCTTTAAATTTGTAAATGTTTGTATCTCCCTTTTTTCTTTTGATTCTTCAATATTCTTCCTTTTTTGGTCTTCTTTTGAAATTGAGATATTTAGAGAAAGAAAGAGAGAGAGAGAGACTAAAATATCATAGCTTCATCACACACACACACACACACACACACACACACAAACAAATATATATATATATATAATGTCAATGTATATGAAGTAAACAATATGAAATTTTTCCATAGTTGATACGATTCAATTTGTTGTTTCTGTTTCTACCCACAATTTCCAATTCTGCCTTATTTTTATTTCACCTGCTTGCCTTTTCTTCTGGTCCCCCTCCTCCTCCTTCACCTCCTTCACTCCTCCTCTTCCATCTTCTCCTCCTCCTTCACCTGCTTCTACTCCTCCTTCACCTGCTTCTACTCCTCCTTCTCCTTTACCTTCTGTTCCATATCATTCAAGATGGTTACCTGCACTCAGATGAACAGAGCACAAAAATTACACGCATAAGTGGATATTCATCCGCAAAAGAGTACCGAAAAGGTATAACTGCACTTAAATATTTCACAATGCATTCAGAGGCAGTCATATTCAGTTTCAGTTTATTATTCTTCCATGTGCAATGCTGTTTCAGAATGTATAAGATCAAGGCTCTCCACAATTTCCTGTCCGTCTTAGCTGTTAATAAATTTTGTCTTTTTTTTTTATCTCTCCTAAACCTTACTGCACGATACATTTACATTAAGCTCACTAGGTAGATTATATATTGTTTTCCGCTGTCTCTCTTGCCTTCAGTCTGTCCTGTGAGTATCAAATTTTTCATGCCTTCTTTCCTCATTATCTGCCATAGAAATTTCAACTGTTTCTTCCTGATGTCAAGTATAAGTGTCGTTTTTTGTTTTTCTTTTCTCTAAAACGTTGTTGTTGCTCACATGTTTGGTCCATGGCATTCTCAGCATTCTGCTGTAGAATTACATTTCTGTTGTTTCAGGTCTCTTCTTCATCTGTGGGGACATTGTCCAGTATTCACTGCCATATTGGAGTTCTGAAAATTATCTGCAAACATAAAATGATGACCGATCTAGACAAAGCAAAATAAAAACTAAAAAAACTAAAGGGAAAAATAAAAATTAAGAATTTCATTTCTTTTTTGAAAAAAAAAAAAATTACTCATTTCCACCCGCAAATCCACGTGTTTTATTCCCTAATGCGTTTTTATTAAGATTACTTTAAAATAACATTTTATTTTTTTATACTAGGAGCTGGTTCATCATGAATAAGATTAAAATGATTACCGTTAATTGGCGAATATCAATTAACTAAACTTAGTGATATTAAATAACAACCGACATGTTTGTCTACATTTCCCGCCAAATGTGAGCAAAGACGGGAGACACTGAGGGTTACGTTAGCTTGAGATGGGCACCTCGGGGTGGTGTAATGGTTAGCAAGCTTGTCTCGCTAGAACAATTACGACTGAGTAGTGAGTTCGATCCTCACTGGGTGCCTCATACTTTCGGCCTTGTACCACATCTGAGCTACGCTTGGAAAATCACAATGTTAGATTGAGATTATAGGAATGTCGGGCTTAGGACATAAAAAAAAAAAAAAAAAAAAAAAAAAAAGGGATTCTAATACGATCACCGAAGTTAAGCAACGTTGCGATTGGTCAGTACATAGATGAGTGACTGCTTGGGAATACCAGATGTTGTGAAACACCAGTTCCCCTATTACGAGGTGTTGTAAGCGTGGATGTGCTGTGGCATGGTTTACGGGTATATCACATTGAAATACCGGTTCTCGTACGATTAACGAAGTTAAGTAACATCGAGCTTGGTCAGTACATAGATGGGTGACCGCTTGGGACTATAAGGTGCTGTAATCTTGGATGCACTAGTAGCATGGGTAATGGGCTTATCACATTGAAATACCAGTTCGTGTATGATCATCGAAGTTAAGCAACATTGAGCTTGGTTAGTACGTAGATGGGTGACAGATAGATATGTAAGGATTCTGAGAGTTTAATGTATTTTAGACTAGCAGAACTTCTGCTAAAAAGCACTCAATCGGTCTTTTGACAATGATTATTTCTTCTTTTACCATTGTTCTTTGTATGCTTACTGATCATTTGTGTGTGTGTGTATATATATATATATATATATATATATATATATATATGTATATATTGTATGTTTGTTTAGGCATCATTTTTTCATTCATACATGTTTCATTAAATAATATAGACAAGTGTTGTCTATTGATATTATGCAAATTCTTTTCATAACGTCTGATAAGCTTAATAACATTATCATTAAAAGAAGAAAGAAAATCACAATATTGATACATATTTTTAATCCAATCTAAGCTTTCGGCTTACATAAGCCATTAACAAAGATGTCAATTACAGTACAATATATTAAACAATACACGGACAAGACAGGGATGATAGTCTGTGATTGTTTGCATGGATGATTTCCAAGCAACAATAAACACGTGCATATAAGACACTAGAAGCGAAAATCGCACTGCAGCTCATGACGTCACATATGACCACGCGAGAGTGAATTCGAGAAGTATTAAGTATGGGAAGCCGTTGGTATAAACCAATGGATTCTGTTACCAATTATAGACCTTTAAGGATATTTGTAGAAATTCCATAGATGATTTTGTTTAGGTTGGGTTTCAACTGTTTGATGTATATTGTTTCAAGGATTTTTAGTTTTTGTCTATTGTTTTCATATTTAAGTATAATTGTGTTTTCGACAATGATTTTACGGAATTCTTTTTTTTTTTTTGTTTGTTTGTTTTTTTGGTTTTTTGCTTAGCATAAAATATAAAAGATATTCATAGATTTGGACGAAAGCAAAAAACGAAACAAAATTGTCCAAATCTGTGAATTTGTTTTGCACATGCTAAGCCTCGAAAAAATACTAGATAAAATTAACTACTTTTTTTTTTGTTAAAATTATTCAACTTTTTAGCAAAAAAGATCTTGATTCTTGATATTAAAAATTGCCGTAAAGCATTGTTGACTTATTTAAGATGGAATGATCTATTATGACATGTTTTTAATTTGTATTTAGATACATCGTATTTATTTTCAATTTTTCTAGTTGAATTGTTCACCTACATTGCATATGATCCATTATTGTACATAATTAGGTTACAATAACATTTCTATTTTATATGAATACTACCTTATGAAAATTGTCATGTAGCAGAGTGGGGGAGCCCATATTATAGATTTGGAGTGTGGGGGGAGGCACAAGACCATTGCACCATCTTTGGGCAGATGAAATGACAGTTATAGATATGATCATACAAATATCTAGTAATTAGTTAATTACCAACTATAGTGATTATTAGTAACTAAACTTTACAACCAGGATTTGATTTGTTGTGACTTCTCGGACTAACATTTTCTGCTGACAAGAAGTGGAAAGATTATACTGAATTAATTGCTAGGTCTGCTGTTTAGAAATTTAGTTCACTGTAACGTGCTAGACAATTTTTCTCATCAGAATCTATCTGACATATTTATAAGTTTACCATTGCTTTGAATATTGCCATCACATCGGGTCTTTTTGCTATATATTTAGAATTTTTGAAATAAAACCAAATAATCTGAAATGTTATTGGCCCTGACTTTCAGCATCTCAGATTCCAGTTTCTTTCCAACTATTGTAATGTAGCTTAAATTATTTTTTCTATAAATACTTTCATGGTAAATGTTCTGATCAACTTTCCTTTATGGTATCTAGACTTTATGATTTTAAGTGCAGTACTAGATTGGCAGCTAGGTCTCATTATTTTGCAGGTGAAATGGTTAGATGTAACCATAAGTTTTATGCTAACAATTTCTTCTATTGCATTTCTCCCTTGTAGAACTCTCTCCAAGCTTCTTGCTTCCCAGTCAACTTTGACCATCAAAAATTTAAACGCAATGCCAATCGTTATATTCTGTCTTCTTAATTCCTGTTCTTGTATTTTTCTCTTTCCTTAAGTATTTTTCTTTTTTTCTCATATTCTCTAACAATCAGTAACCACTTGTGTCTTAGTAGCTTTATTGCCTTTCTTGGACTCTAATGATTTTAAAAAAATAGAAAAGGAAATGGAATATAGAATACCAGCAGTAGAGCATGGCGTTGCTCGGAAATATAACAGTAAGAGATAGATCAAGTATCGACCATCATAAAGACTGAAAAATAAAATTGACAAAGATTATTGTTTAAGGTTGACAGACACGCATGTCTTAATTAGTTTTTTTTTTTTTTTTAACGAATTGGTCAAAACCAAACTTAAACAAAAACATTGTTTTCAATCGTTATGAGTCTCTATAAACAATTGTCTTGTAAATTGAATTTTTAAAGCATTCTGAATGTAAAAATAAAGAAAAAAGTGTAAAGACAATAAGAAACACTACCTGCCAAATAAAAAGTGAAGTTTTGTTGAAATCTATTTAAAAAAATGTAGGAAATCCGATCCCATATATAAACGAAACACACACAAACAAACAACCTGGGTTTTTATAATAAGTATAACTCGATATGAGTTGTCCCCCTTTCATTCTGGCTAAAGAATCGTGTTTTGTCGTGTTTTCAAATTGATTTCGTGCAAAAAAATGTGTTTTTCCCATTTTTGGCGTTGTCAGAACCACCGCAAGATAATTTTACGTAGTCCTGTGAAGTTTTGTTGAAATCGGTTGAAAAATGTAGGAAATCCGATCCAATATATAAACGTACAGACACACACGCACACTCACACGCACACGCACACACACACACACACAATCTGTGTTTTATGATAAGTAAGATGATGCACCACAGGTAGTTTCGCCCAACACTACCCATTGCTACTAAATCAAAACATCAACCTGAAAACTAATCAGATCAAGACTTTCATATGGATGCCATGCATGTCGCCAAACCTGTTCAAAAATATTCAAACTGTCAGCTGCATAGAACCGCTTTCTAAGATCAATAAAGAGGAAAGTCTTTGACAAGAAAAGCCTGAGAGTCTTAGCAAAGATCAACCTTTTTGGACAATCTGGACTGTTGATACGGAATCATAAAGACCTCTACCGATGTTGTGGTAGGATCCACCTAATTTGCATGGTGGAGTACCGACCATATAAACATGGTTGGTTTGGGAAGAGAGAGGAATCAAGAGATTCACTCTCAGTCGAACTCTCTGCATTTGCAGTTAGGGACCCGGACGAAATTTTGATGAGAGGCAGGGTTTCGTCCAGGGGTAGTAGACAGGCTTTGAACCCGTCTAGGCGGGTTCAGAATTTTTTTATATTTTTAGCCGAGCCTAATTTCGGAGATACCCAATTTTAAACCGGCCTTGTGCCAAATTTTATCCTCGTGGGTGGATAGATAAATACAGGAATCAAGAGATTCAACCAGAGACTCTCAAATTTGCGACTCAGTCAACACATTCTCCAGGAACGGTCTTACCAGGAATATACAAAAGACTATATGTAAATATTGTGTACACTTTCTTGTTATTCCATGCATTAGTCAAGTTTCAAAAATCGAATAACAGAAGACACACTTGAGGACTACCAAGAACAGAAACAATTAAAATGGATAGCACATGTAACTCGAAGAGAAAATAATGACATAATCAAGATGTTAGCATTCCACACTACTTCAAATAAAAGGTTGGGAAGGAAACCTCATCAGTACTGGAAAGAGCTATAACAACTACTGGACTTGAAAAAATTATTTTCCTGAAAAAAAGTTTTCAAGAGAAAGAGTTTATAAACTTCAACCGAAAAGCAGTATTGTCACCCGTTCAATGAATGTTTCCTTGTAGGGAAACGGCTCATACTATAATTATCATTGTGTCTTCATATTCCATTCGTAAGGAAGAATTTTCACTCAGACATATTCATCCCAAGAACTGTTGCTTCCGACTCCCGAGAGGATGCTTCCTCAAAATCTATGATCTTAATATAACAAAAGTCATTATTTATACTACTTTTCCTCATAATATGCATTTTTCTATTTTTTATGGTTTTACAACCACTTCATTCAGTAACCCTCTACCTTGAGTGGCTCCTGGGCCTTGTACTCAGATAATTAACTACTAACCCATTTTTTCTCAAGATGTTTAGCAATGGGACAGAACACTCGTTTTTTATCGTTACGATATTGTCAAGATGACTGGCGTTAGAACTGAGCGTACAGATAGCTTATGTTTGTTCATTCAATAACCCACGACCTTAAGTGGATCTTGGGCGTTGGACTGGGTGAACAACTATATAAACAATTGCCTTGTGCCAAATCTTGTTCAAATGGAGACTTGCATAAATAGCTACTTGCCCATTTTGTTATTTCTGTGATATTGTCAAGATGACTGGCGACGAGACAGAGCATGTAGTTTCGCTCAGAATTTGAGCTCTTTTTCCGCTAGCTATATTTTCTCATTTGATCAAGGTTATACCTATTCATACTTCCTGTGGAATATCGTATGATGAAAATAACTCAACAAAGCAGTATATTCGCTTGTCAGAATCTTATTCAAAGATGGTTGAATAATTTGAAGAAAATAGCATTGTACATAAGACGAATAAAAAAAAAGAGAAAAGGGAAAAGAGAGGAAGAAACAAAAGGTAAATTAGGGTGAAAAGAGACAAAGGAAAAACAGAGAGAGAGGGGGGAAGAAAGAAGTGTAAAAGAAAGATAATCAGAGGAGGGATTAGCAATAGAGAAATGAAAGAGTAAAAACATAAGAAGAATGGAAGGAGTATGAAGTAATACAAAGCAGAGAAAAAGATTAAACGAAAAGGAAGAAAGAAAGAAAGAAAGGGAGGAAGGAAGGAAGGAAGGAAGGAAGGAGGGAAGGAAGTGTTAAATGAAAAGAAAGAAATTATTGACAAATAGTAAGGAAGGAAAGTTTAATAAAAGAAAGAAATAATTAATATAAAAAAAAGAACAAAACTAGAAGAATTAGGGGAAAGAAAGAATTAGCAAAATGGAAGGAAGGAGCAATGAAGAGAAAAAGAAAGTATTAATTAAGAGAAAGAAAGAAATGATTACACGAAAAGAAAGAAAGAAAGAAAGGATTAAACTAAAAGAAAGAAGGAAAGAATTAATCGAAAGGAAAGAAAGAAAGAAACAAACAAACAAACAAACGAAGAAAGAAAGAAAGAAAAGAAAGAAAGAAAGGATAAACCGAAAGAAAGAAAGAAAGAAAAAAGAAAGAAAGAAAGAATGAAAGAAAGAAACAAACAAAGAAACGAAGAAAGGATTAAATGTAAAGAAAGGAAGAACGAATGGGTTAAACGAAAAGAAAGAAAGAAAGAAAGAAAGAAAGAAAGAAAGAAAGAAAGAAAGAAAATTAAATGTAAAGAAAGGAAGAACGAATGGGTTAAACGAAAAGAAAGAAAAAAAGAAAGAAAGAAAGAAAGAAAGAAAGAAAGGATAAAATGAAAGAAAGAAAGAAACGGAGAAAGGATTAAATCTAAAAGAAAAGGAAGAAAGAATGGGTTAAACGCAAAAAAAAAAAAGAAAGAAAGAAAAAAAGAAAGAAAGAAAGAAAAGAAAGGATAAACGAAAAAGAAAAGAAAAAAGAAAAGAAAATTTCAAAAAGAAAGAAAAAAAAAAAAGAAAGAAAAGAAAGAAAGAAAGGATAAAATGAAAGAAAGAAAGAAACGGAGAAAGGATTAAATCTAAAGAAAGGAAGAAAGAATGGGTTAAACGAAAAGAAAGAAAGAAAGAAAGAAAGGATAAACGAAAAGAAAGAAAGAAAGAAAGAAAGAAAGAAAGAACGAAAGAAGCGTTAAATGAAAAGAAAGATATTCTTGAAAAATAGTAAGGAAGGAAAGTTTAATGAAAAAAGAAATAATTAATATAAAAAAAGAACAACGCTAGAAGAATTAGGGGAAAGATAGAATTAGCAAAAAGAAAGGAAGGAGCAATGAAGAGAAAAAAAAAAAGAAAAAAAGCAATGAAAGAAAAGAAAAAAAAGAAAAAAAAAGAAAAAAAAGAAATTAAGCGAAATGGAAAGAAAGAAAATTAAAAAAAAGAAAACAAAAACAATGAAAAGAAAAACAGACATAAACAGTGATAAGAAAAAAGAAAGAATGAATTAACAAAAAGAAAAATGAAAGAAAGAAGATAAATATCAAAGAAAGAAAGAAAGAAAGAAAGAAAGAAAGAAAAAATGAAGAGCAAATTAAAATGAGAAAAAAGAAAAGGTGATTAAGAAAGAAAAAAAAAGAAAGAAAGAAAGAAAAAGAAAAGAAAGAAAGAAAGAAAGAAAGAAAGAGAAACATAAAGAGAAACTGAGGAATAAGGGAATAGAAACCAGCTTATTTAGGACTTTTGTTTCCATGGCAACCTCTTTGAAATAGGACAAATAATTATTCTTCATCATTGTGCATTCTACCAAATTAATGGTGCATCCATTTGTGGAAGCAGCTCTTTGATTAGGCACTTGTGTGTGTTGCATGCCAAATCAAAAAGAAATAGCTATAAAATATCACAGAGTATGGAAAGAATGGAAAAAGAGAAAGAAGAAAGGAAGAAATGAAAAAAAGAAAAGAAAGAAGACCTTAAAAGACTTAATGGGATACAATGGTTAGAGAAGGAATAGACAGAAGAGAGAAATAAAGGAAGGAAGAATGAAGAGAAGGAAAATCATTCAAAGATACGAAAAAGAAAGACAGGAAGGGAGAAAGAAAATAAAACATTTTCGAAAAGTCTGAAGAAACGAGTCAACAAAAACTAACAAAAAAACAAGGAGAAAGAAAGAAAGAAAGAAATGAAAGGAAAGGAAAGGAAAAGAAAGGAAAAGGAGAAAACGCATAGACAGTTTGGGACTGGAGTGAAAACTGTGTAATTCCTGCCCGAATATAGCAGCAGTAGTCCATTTTCGGTCTGATTTGGCTCTCGTAACGGTAGAGGATAGCAGGCGGAGCCAGGCACTTTCTGGAGCGGTTTCTTCAGAGCAGACACCTATCATTTTAAACTTCTCAGAATTATTGATTAATGTCAAAAAATAATTTTATTTTGGTTTAGCAGCTCGGATTGAGGAATCAGAGAGCCGAGTTTGAATTCCAGTCGAATCCATTACATTCACTTACGTGCTAATACCCTTTGGAAAGGCATGAATCCTCTTCTTCTTCCCCACCCCCCAGCTATGGGTAAATAGCAGGACAGACTGGGTTCTATAGCCTTGAATGGCAACCAGTCTACCGCAGAAACAAATGGCAACCTACTGCGGGAAAAAAATCTACCTCGTCAGTCATGTATCGAAAGATACATGATCGCTTCAAAATGTAACATGCATGGCACATAACTGACTGACTGACTTTCCAGTCGAATCCATTACATTTACTTACGTGCTAATACTCTTAGGAAAGGTATGAATCATCTTCTTCTTCCCCCAGCTATGGGTAAATAGCAGAACAGAATGAGTTCTATAGCCTTGGATGACAACTGGTCTACCGCAGAAAGAAATGACAACCTACTGCGGGAAAAAAAAACTGCCTCGTCAGTCCTGTATCAAAAGATACCATGATCGCCTAAGCGTGTATCACGCACGGCACATAACTGACTGACTGTTTGCTTGGTTCAGAACTCTTGCATAATATCGGTCCTTGTAAATGGCACTGAATGTTGGGCAGTCTCCTCACAGATGTAAGAAAGACTTGAGAAAACAAAAATATGCTTCTACAGAAGGATGCTGAGAATACTTTGGACCGAAGATGTGAGCGATGATGAAGTTTTAGAGAAAATGAAAACAAAAGTCAACTATCTCTTGCTGATTCTATTAATTATACATAGAATCAACAAGAGATCGTTGAATTTTTTAGGGCACATGAGGAAAGAGAGCTTGGAAAATTTGATACTCACAGCGTGTAATCTACCTAACGACCTTGTGTAGATGGATGGCAGAACAGGGACTAGGAAGGATAGTAAAGAGAAACCATTAATTCGAGCTTTGAAGAAAAGGAAGCTGTGGCGAGCCATGATCACCTGCCCAACAAGATTGTATAAATGGATGGCTAAACAAAAACTGGGAAGGATGCTAAAGAGATAAACATTACTTAATGGTACAAAGGAGAGGAAGTAGTGGAGAGCCATGTTCACCTACCTAAAGAGTATATATAAATGGATGACAGAGCGCAGGATTTGGAAAGGGTAGTAAAGGGACAAATATTACTTAGAACTACAAAGGATAGGACGTTGTGGAGAGCTATGTTCAGCTACCTAAAGAGTTTATGTAAATGGATGATAGAGCGCAGGAATTGGGAAGGATAGTGAAGGGACAAATATTGCTTAGAGCTACAAAGGATAGGAAGTTGTGGAGAGCCATGTTCACCGACCTAAAAAGTTTGTCTAAATGGATGGCAGAACAGGAAAACGGATGGATAGTAAAAGAACAAATACTACAATACTTAGCCATGTTCTACCTACAAAGAATAGGAAGTTGTGGAAGGATAGTTGGGACAACCATGTGAAGGATACCTAAATGTTTACCTAAAAAGTTTGGATGGCAGAACAGGAATTGGGAAGGATAGTAAAGGGACAAATATTACTTAGAGCTACAAAGGATAGGAAGTTGTGGAGAGCCATGTTCACCTACCTAAAGAGTTTGTGTAAATTGATGGCAGAACAGGGATTGGAAAGGATAGTAAAGAAATAAATATTACCTTTTTGCTTCAATAGATAGGAAGTTGTGGAGTGCCATGATCACCTACCTAACGAGCATGGATGGGAGAAGACAGCAAAAAGAAAATTTACCAAGAGCAATAGAAGGCAGGCAATTGTGGAGAGTCATGTCACCCACGTCCTGAAGGGACATGGCACATAGTAGATGAAGGCAGTCACCCAGATAAGAGACGTTAGTTTATGTATAATTATATCCACATATATTCAGGGCCTTTAAAAGAAACTTCATAAATCAATTACCATTTTAATATTTTGTTTATCAATTCGTCACATGCAAGGTTATAAAGCCACTAAGACTCAAGGGGGTTACTGAATTTTAAAGAATATGAGACAAAACAAGACATAATTAAGGAGAGAGAACAATAAAAGAATAGCAATTAAGAAGTCGGAAGATAACGATTGACACTGCATTTAAATTTTTGAAGATCAAAGTTGATTGGGAAGCAAGAAGCGGGAAGAGAGTTCCACAAGAGCGAAGCGAGAGAGAAGAAATTGTTAGCATAAAACTTATGGTTATATATAGCAATTTCAACTGTAAAATGATATGCGACCTTACAACCAATCAAGTACTTACACCAAAACAACACATTCTTACTTACCATTCTTACTAGAGCCACCATAATACCTCAAAGTCCTAACTAGTCCACATGTGTGCAATTTTTCTGTGGAGGTGAGGAATGAAAATAACAACTTTAAAAAAAAACGAAAGAAAATTCATTAGAATAATTACCATGAAAATATTTATAGAAAATGCACAGGGAAGCAAGGTTAGGGCAGTTGGAAAGTGGCTGAAAGTGATGAGACGTTGCCATCAATCTAATATTGCGTCTAGACACCATAGAGAAGAGCTCATCTGTATTTTTAGAAAAGGTAAAGGGAAGCAACGTTACAGCAATGAGAAAGGAATGAAGCCAAGATGCCAGGTCAGAACCAATAACACAAGATTTTTTTGGGATTTTTAAAAGAATATCTAAATAATGATTTATTACTAAGCCAGATACAACACTTGCTTTTTGAATGCTTGAAAAATCTCAGCAGTAGGAAAGGAAAAGGTTCAAATCAAAAACACCCTTTTTAGGGGTAACGCTGTTTTAAATTTAGGGGTGTTTAATTGATTTGATTTTTTTTAAAACATTTTTTTATTCTACATTCAACACCATTTGATAAAACACCAGTATAAATTGAAACAAAATGGCTATTTTTTGTAGTGATTTTATAACATATTTATGTTATAATTTTCGAATATATATATATATATATATATATATATATATATATATATATATATAATTATTTATTTAAAAATTTATAATATAAATATGTTTATAAAATCACTACAAAAATAAATAATTTTGTTTCAACACTCTCTAGGTGCTTATATATTATAATCTGATTGCGTTTGTTTTTACGCGTGAGTTTAGGACCCCATTCACACACTTAGGATTAAAATGTAAACATTGTCAAAGGATCGGATATAAAATTAGCTAAAGTAACTTCAATGAAGAAATAAATTGAATAACATATATATTTCTTCTTTTCTCCTCAGTAGTTTCATAGTTGTAAACTTAATAGCGATTAAATTTTGATCTTGAAATTAGCAGTTTTTAATTTTAATATTAAATTTTATCATATAATTTAGTAATTATTGGTTAGAATAAAATTTTTTAATACTACCCATATTTTAAAAAATATTTGAATAGCTATTATAACATGACTTCGTTGTCAATTTTTTGAATTTTCCTATACTTGTATTTTTGATTGGTCCATCTAGCTTTTAACAACGTTTTCCCTTGTGAAGGATTGTTAATTAATTTTGAAATTTTTAAAACCATTTTTTTACATTCAACATCATCACTTGATAAGACACCGAGAGTGTTGAAATAAAATGGCTTTTTGTAGTGATTTTATAACATATTTATGTTATAAATCTCTACTTTAAATTGAAACTCTTTTAAGAATAGTATTTGTTGGTTATTGGAATTCATTCATAAACACAATCATACATTGAATATATATATATACATATATATATATATATATATATATATATATATATATATATATGGGGAGAGAGAGAGACAGACAGATCCTCCGAGAATCTCTCTGTCCACTCGTCAGGTGTTACCAGCAATTGCTGCTTATATTTCTCGATTTTATAAGGACTTTTCATTGGTGCAAGTTTTCTTTTTCATAGTTTATGTGTGTGTGCATGTATGGATGTTATGGCTGTTACTGTTGGGTTGATTCTTTCACCTAAACATCCAAGATTTGTTGAATTGCCTTCGTCGCTGAAATAAATAGACAAAGAAAAGATGGAGACACTAGAGGGACAGTTTAGGACACTGATTTTATTTGCTTCTTTTTTTTTTTCTTTTTTTTTTTGGATTCCAACGACCTCTTGTTGGGGAATTTCCTTCCCGAACAGTTGGCACGTGTTCACCAGAGAAAGACAGAGATTCTTAAAAGCTTACTTAAATGAAGGAAATCTCTCTCTTTTATTTTTTTTTATTTTTTTAATTTTTTTTTTTTGCACATGCGTATATTGTCTTTCCTGTCAGAGGACTCCTGGGAGATTTTAATGTTTATTTTATTTTCTACT